CTTTCAATGTCTAAACCAGGAAGATTGGATTCTATTTTACTGATTATATAGTCATTATGGATTATTTACAAAGTAAAAAAAAAATAATATTTAGATCTGAATGGACCTTAAAATCCACTCTTTAGTGATTTCAAAATGTGCTGTTGGGGGATCCCCATGAAAACCACTCGGGGGGCGGAGGCTGGGGCAAAGCCTTAGGGACTGCAGACTGGGTAAGTCTCCATAGCACCGTGATCCCTTCTTCAGAGCAATTCACTTTTATCTGTTTATAATTGTACCTAACACTTCTTTGAACTACATATTCCAAGGCTGACAAAATGTGAAGTCTACCAATGTACCTTCATCTCTTCATTGTATTTATTGGAAAATTTTAACTCAGAGGAGCCTTTTGCCATGATCCCACTGCCAGTTCAGACTTGATCACAGGTCTGTAGAACATAAGCCAATTTCCCTCATTATATTATAGTGTGTATCAGAGCTGTGCTTGAGGAAGATGCTCTGAAGTGTACATTGTAGGGATAAATGTTGGCAGCTAGGAGACAGGTTGTAAAACCGAGTGCAGTAGCTACTCCAGAGATGGGGATGGCATGAAGCCAGAGTAGTTTCAGTAGAACTACACAGGTAGGGACATGTCAGTTGCCCTAAATGCATTCTAAGCCTCTTTCATCAACAGTGTAACCAAATTCCTGCTTCTAATTCCCTGTGTTTTAAATACTCAAAATGGTTTCTCTTTTTTCTGGTTGCATCCTGACTTACACACAGATCAACACCCTCCTTTTTACTAAAGAGAACAGGTGAAGTTGGGAATTTCACTTACGTTGTAACTTTGCAAGCTGAAGCCTTAAACTTTGCGTCTGATATTTGGATACATCAGTCCTGAGGCTATAAGAGAGAAAAGATTATTTCAGGCTAGTTTTCTGACGATGCTTTGAGCTGAGAATTTAAAACCCTAAGAATTTTCTTTCTTTAATCTCAGTGCGCTCAGAAGTAGGTATTGTCCCCCACAGTCCTTGTGCTCGTCTCTATCTTGTCATTCTTTTCCAAGAGTCACTAGGACTCCCCATATTTGCTTTCACTGGGCTCTATAGTCCAGGTAACTACAGGTGACAATTTAAGTAACTGTTTTCCACTGTATCTTGTGGACTACCATCTCACTTTCCCCTAATGATAAAATCACTACCACCTTCAGATCTCACCAGGTGAGATAACCAATACAAAGACTCATCTTTAGGTGGCTCTTTACCTAGAAAGTTCTTCTGGAGCCAAATAGTGTATCAGTCAGGGGCAGTCAGGAAAACAGACGTCACTACAGGTGTTGCGAATATAAAGTGAATTATTACAGAGACCCGGAAGTGCTAGTAAAGCAGAGGTAACACAGTTTACTTCTGGCTTTCAGAAATTCCGGAAATATAAGACTTACAGAAAAGCCATTGCTAATAAACTTAGTTCTCTGAAACACCAAAGCCCACGATTCTCAGGAGGATGCCCAGTTATTTCTAGAAGTTGCTGTTGGTTATCACAGCTGCCTATAGCACCGAAGTGGGTAATTCTCAGGAGAATGCTAGAAGTCCGGCAAAACTCCCCTTCTGCCGTCTGCTGATGTCCTTACTCTAAGAAGGATAAGAAGTTCCTGTGCAAGAACACCCAGTATGTAGCACAGGACACATGCGTAAGACTGCTGACACTGAATCGACAGAGCCCCCGTCCTGGCTTTGCACGGTAACGAGGAATCATCCAAATGACTGTGCAAAATGAAACCATGCAATCGGACCTTAATAATCAAGAAGAAAAATTATAATTGTTTAACAACCTTTAAAAATTTTGTCAAAGCATTAAAATCTCTCTTACTATAGGTGGTAAAGGGAAGTGAAAAAATAGCGAAACTAATGTTTATTTAGTACACAGTAATTTAAACCTTTTGAAACACTGTCAATCAACTTGTTTGATTTCCTTATATAAAACGCATCAAGAGTCGTTTGAACAGTACTTACCTTTTTTGTCGTATAATTCACTACATGGAAAGAACATCTTTTTGACGCCTTGGTGAATCCTTTCTAAGTTTAGATCAGCTTCCAACATTTTATACTTTGAACTTTCAGAGCTGTGAAATATTTCTGAGAATTCCTTTAATGTAGTTTTTTGCCAGCATCACTTCCGCTGGGACACCTTCATCCTTTTCCCTACAAGCACTTTCCTCATTTACCTCACTGAGCCCACCTTCAATAGACTAGTGGATTTCTAGCCGCATATCTAGAGTCTCTTGAACGTTGGCCGTGTCAACACTCCCACAGTCAGCAATTTTTTCTATAACATTGTTTACATTTGATTCAAATGTCTCTTTCAGCACTATCACATCATTTCTTTGCTGCACTTTCAACTTTGTTGGCTAATTCCCTTTTCCAGTTGTCCATTTTTATAAAATGGCATGTGAATTTTTCGTGAGAGAAAAGGAGTCAACACAACTACATGTAATTTACGCATGAACTGAATAACAGACCTACAGTGACTTATCATCAACATAATTTGGAGGAAGTGATGTTATTGGCCACTGATTATGATGCACAGTTGTTAATTACATAATGATTTTAGACTGAAGAGCTATCAGAAAGTTCATACGTTATGCAATTACCCAGTTATTATGCCTTGGTAACTGAAATTTGAACCGTGTTGCTTGGAACTAGTATTATTAAACTAAAACATAGTCACCAAAATTCTTGTATTTTGGAAACTTGCAAAGAAAGGAGTATCTGGCTTGGTGACCAGTTGGAGTCCTGTAATAGTGTGGGGAGTAAGAGGCAAGAGGAAAATAAAAATCAATGATAACTTCAAAATTTAGGGAGGAAAAATGGTAACATGAATAAGTGACATAGAAACAAGTGGTAGAGAAGTTGAGGAAAAATGAAGATACTGATTTTGAATCTCTTAAGTTTTAGGTGCTAAGGCTAATTCATGTGGAAATGTTCAGAAGGTTGTTACAGTTTCAATCTATATCTCAGGAGATTTAGGAACTAAAGATTTAAATTTGAACGCCGTGCACAAAGAGGTGGTAAATGAAGTTAGGAGATGAAATAGTTCAACTCAGTTCCTTCCTAGAACTCACATGTACTTGGTGTGTGGAAGATAACAAACCAAGAGAAGGGTAGACGGTAGCATCCTGAGACACCTAAGGAATCCAGAAAATGCAAAATTATGTAGCAAAGGGAAGTGAGTTTTTAGAACAAAAGGTAGGCAATAGTAAAAATGATGTTGAGAAGCAAGATAAGTCCTAAGTAAAAATCCATCATTAGATCTCCCATTTAAAAAGTCAACAGTGATTCTTGAAAAGAAAACTGTCAATAAAATGCTGAGAGCTAGAAGGAGAAGGGAAAGACTTGAGGAGGGGGTAATGGACAGTGGATGACTAGCAAATGTGGGTTATACTTTTGAGACATTTGTTAGAGAAAGAAAGGAGAGCTTGATAATACACCTGGAGAAGAAAAGCACCGTCTCTTTGCCTAGGAAAGGCGAGTACGTATTTTACTTCAGAGAAGGATCTGGTAGAGAGATGAATATTGAAGTTGTAGGTTTAGAAGAAGTGGAGCGGCTGGAGTTGAGAGAGCAGACTGAATGTGACTGGACACCAATAAGGGCATTTCTTCGTGAGTGACAGAAAAGAGAGACGAGGCATCAAATAAAATTTTTAGGTGAAAAAGAGGGAAACTGGTGGAAGTTTCTTTAGCACCTTTCTTCACCTTGAGGAGCAAGAATGCAGCATCAAGCTGAGAACTTGTGAAGAGCTGAAAATAGTTTATAATAGGCATTATCAGAGTTGGTAAACATATCTAAAAGAATTTTCCAGTAGTTGTTTAACTTCATCTGGTAGATCGGATCATATGAATTTGACCCATGGATGAGCTGAATTTTTATGAATATTTTCTATTTCAGTTCTTAGCTACTTAAAAGTTGGATTAGAGAAAAGGATTGATAGTCTTTCTAGGGGTATAGTGATAGAGCAGGAAGTGAAGCAAGAAAGTGATCTTTTAGTGCTAGGAAAACTGGTTAAAAAGCATGTCTGAGTGGGAAGAGTAGAACCAAGTTGAAAGAATTGAGAATATATAGTGACTATAGGACAGGTGATAGCAAAGATCAAGTTTATTAAGGATGGCAAGCAATTCTTTGTTGGCAAAAAAAAGAAGAATTTGTCTTTACAGGTGTTCAGTGAAAATTCACCAATGTCAAATACTTTATCTTCAAGTTCAAACGCATAATTATATTCATACAACTCTAGGCTGCCTCTTCAAGCCCTGCATGTGTTTATCTCTTTTTCAGGGAGAATTATGTCAGACTGTTGGATCTTCTGCTTTTTTCTTAGGAAGCTTTTTCTATGGGACTCTTTTCTGATATTATTCAGTGTAACTTCATTTTTCTTTATCTTCTATCAAATAGGTTTTCCCAGAGCTTAAAAAAATAAAAAATTTATTATTACATGAAAGGGAGATTTTGTCTTTTTTAACTTTTTTTAAGAAATAAAATCCGATAGCTTTGTCTTTCAGTGAACAAGCCGGAAGAAACAAGTTACAAGTATCTTTCCTTCCACATAATTATTTCCATTTGGGCGTGATGCTTGACAAACCATGACCTGGGGATGAGTCATATTTGTTCATGTTGAGTTTGCCATGGATGTATATACATCAATTCTAAAAACTAATCCACAATTCTTGCTTTGGAACCACCTGGAAAAAGAAAACATTTGATGAAAAGAGGAAACCTAACCTGGGTTAAGCTTTAAGCTAATGAGCATAAAGATAAACTAATTCTTTTATGTTTAGAATTGCCTCCTAAACTGGAGATTGATCAAAGAAATTTACTCACCTTATATCAGAATTACATATTAAGGATCAAGAACTGGAACCTTGATATACTCCAGAAAAGGTGGAAATAAAGTCACAATCAACTTGAGGACTCCATATTATTGCTGAAGTTGTTGTAACAGTAATTTTTTGGATTTAACTACTCTGTTCCCAGAATATGATCTTGGGCCTGTGAGTGAAGAAGCTTGTCCATAGCACACTGGGAGGGCAGCAGAAGAACAGATGCCCATGCTGAGGCAGCTGACCAAGGGACTCTTGGCATAAACAAGATATGGCTACCAAATCCGTCTATGTGTGAATAGGTACGTGTGATATATTTATCTAAGTGCAGGCTCTGAAGCTCTCCTGAGTTCGCCACTGGGAAGCCAGCAGTTCACAATTAGTCAAAACTTTGGTTAGGAAGTGCTTTTGATGCTGTAGTTGCTAGTTCTGTGCTAAATCAAGCCACAAGGAAAGGGTAGTCTACAATGCTCTTGAAAAGGTTGTCTTTAAACAGCAACCCTGATAGCTGGTGAAGGAGCCTCAGGAGGAGAATAATTGGGCTGCACTGGAGGGGCTGAGAGTATCTGAATTTCTGTGTTCACGCCCAGACTGATTTCATATCCCCCGGATTTCTAAACTTCTCTTTGCTCCTGTTATCTTGTTTGTGCTTCAGCTGTCCCGTCTTCAGACTTCTGATTTCCATCCCTCCTTTTGTGGCAAAAGTCTTCCTGCTCAGAACACACTTTAAATTTCCTAGACGGAAGTAATGTGAGAAAAGCATCTAGCATGTGGGTATGTATTGATTTTCAATCCAACAGCTGAAATGAATTTTATTTCTTGACCCACTGATTTCCCCTTCCCCTGAACTCATAGCATTTAATACTTCCCAGTGACTTATTTTTTTTGCTATGAACATTTCACATATGTGTGTTTTGTCTCTTTAACCATTTTAGCATAAAACCCTGCAGCTCAATTCCTTGTATGCTGTGGCTTTCTTTTCTTTTTTCAACTCACAATGCAGTGGATAGCACAGTGACACAGAGAATATGCTCAATAAATTTTTGTGTGAACAAATAGTTTTTCCCATAGAAGAGAGTATTTTCACCTAAATTTATTATTTGTCCGCTTGATATTTTGCCTACAAAAGGCTTGCACAATGCAGTTCACTGGCTCCCATAAACTGAGATGATAATCTAATTTTCGTTATGCACTGGCTCAAACCAGGAAGGCTGATCAGACTTAGCGATTTCATTTTGTAGGTGAGGGAAATAAGCGTTTACTCAGATGACTTTAACTTCCTGAAGACAATGGAAGAAAACAATAGCAACAACCAGGACGAAAGCCACGTGACGTTTACACAGGGTGTCATCTACTCTAAAATATGTTGTTGTCTGACTTTCCTTCTCCTGACTGGAGAAATTTAGTCTGTCTGGATTTTCTACAATACAAAGTTAAAGCATAGGAATAATTTCATTACTTTTGAACCTGAGTCACTTTCACACTTAATTCTTCATAAAAATGTTTTCCAGGGTATCAAAAGAATTAGAATTTCTTATGTTTGGACTGTCTTACAGTAAAGAGGTGGAAAATAGAATTAACTGCAACGAAATGGTGTGTTATGCATCACTTTAAATTATTCACTTTTCTATTTCTTTTATTGAGCTTGAGTTTTTCCTCATGATTGACCTTCAGATACTTCTGAATATCTTTCTGCTACAGAACTGAGTAGACTAGCATCTGGCCTTCCCAGGTTATGAAGCACAAATTGAATTGACTCTCCTGGGGCTTAAGACTGAAGTCACTGGAGTGTTTTTTTAATGGAGACTTAAGAATTGAATAGTCAAAGCTTGCTCTTTGAAAGTTAACATCCACCTATAATCAAAGTCCATTTGTGCAATGGCCTTGACAATTTTAGTGATGACTTTATTACGAGCTGATTTTAGCAGTACTTTGGGCAGTACTTTTGGCAAATTCTGATACAGAAAAGAACTGAGCAACATGAAAAATATCACACGAAGTAGCCAACATTTGATGAAATTCTTTAAAAAACCCCAAGGCAATCACTGAAGAAATATACTGTGTTTCTGATGGCAGACTGAGAGCACAATGACAGCCATGTGTACTTAACCATAGTTCACCAACATCGTGTTCCTGTGCACTATGGCAGTGGACAAGAAGTATATAATGTGACACTTTCCCTCAAATAGCTTAAAATCTATTTGGAGAGAAAAAACAAGAGAATGGTTACATGTATAAAATTGAGAGAAGGGAGAAGTCATGGTAGGCTGGAATATTCAAAATGATAAATTTTTGTGGAAACAATTATAATTTGGCCACAAAGCAGGGCAGAATTTGGACTCATCAATGGGAAATCAAGCTCAGTTGAAGCAAACGAAATATCATTAGTAAGGACACAAATGTGAGCATGAACATTATACATCGGAGGACAGAGAGAGCATCAGCCGGAGTAGAATACACAGTGCTGGGTTGGGCATGGTGGGGAACAAGGCTGAAGACATCGATTTATGAAGGACTTAATAGAACTAAATAGCATACCCAGTGGAGAATCAATATTGTGTACACTCTTGAGCAATGGAATTAGATAATGACATCATTCTTTTGCAAAGATTAATCAGATTGATGCATTAAAATGATTGAAAGGGAAGAGAGAGGGGAGTTGGCAAAAATAGTTGCAGATTTCTAACTCTAAACTGTTGAGAAGAAGGGAATGGAGAGCAATGCATAAACGTAAGAGACATTATAAGGGAGAAACAACTGAGCATTCTGACTTAGCTGAAGAAAATGGAAGTGAAAACACAGTCAGCAATAAGCCAACCTTACAAATGACCAAATACCTCTAATGAGTAATAAAATGTTTGGTGTGTTTACTTAGCTCTGCCACCTTGACTATTCAATGAATCTGTTCATTAAAAGGTAATGTATCAATGTCAAGCCGGTATGTAGGAGGCTAGCAAATAACAGGAAAGTGGCCTCAACTGACACTGCTCTCAGTCAAAAGAATGCGGACCCATTATGTTTTACAGAATGCCGTTCATGACTGCTAAACAGGGACCAAATCTTTTTCATCATGATATAGAGCATTGCAATTTCCCAACATTTATTCTTCCACCCTGGACAAAATCCCTTCTTTCTTTGAGTTTCATGCCACACTCTACCCCTCCTCATAGCTGTCATTCTACAATCATCCCTTATTCTCAAAATTTTTGAAGCATTGATACCTTAGTCATTACTTCCTCTATACCTCAAGATCTGACATGAGGAAATGCTGCTCCTCCTCTGAAATTTGAAATCCAACATGCCGTTGGATGACCGAAATCTCTCATTCTTTCATCCTCTCTCTTCCTATACTCCTGATGCCAATAATTTCTCAGTGACTATCACTTGCTTTTGCCTTCAACAACAGAAATACTTAATAACATACTTATATCCTCAACTCCTTTGCAAGTCTCCCATGATACCAACAAAACAAAACTCTAATCCCGAATTTATGCCATAGTCTACCACCTCCATTTACCTATTTGAGATACACGATGAGGATATCCATGATCTTTAATCTCAGTCGATTGCTCATATTCAAGAATACATCTACAGAAGAAAATAAAGTATTTTCTGCTTTCAGTACCTCTGTCCACTGTCTGAAAAAAACAGCAAATTGCCAATGGCTGTTTCTCTAATGACTGTGAGCTCTGTGTGTGTGCATGTCCATGTGTATAGGTGTTTGTGTTCCTTTCTAGGGATGAATATGGATTAAATGAAAAAGGAACCAAATTGCTTATTTCCTGGAAAACAAACATGACACTCTGCCCCCCTGCAATTTCCTCTAATAGCTTTTACTCTTCAAGTTTCTCCCCCATGGATCTCTAGCTTTATGCAATATCTGATCCTTTTACCTGTACAATAAAAGTGTCTAGAGGTTTTCCAGATTCTGTGTTGCAGTGCAAGCATTACAAGGGGATTTAGGACTTAAAACTTTGCTCCCCTTTTTAGCAAACTTTTCGATAAATGAAAAAAGAAGGATAAGCATTAGATTGTATGTGTGTATATATTTGTGAGTTCTACATGTTTATACCTAACCAGAATATAAAGACAAGAAAGGAACTTTAAATTCAATGTAACATCATATTGACACGTGTCTCTGCCACTCTGAGTATTACAATATTCTTTTACTTAAGAAAACCAAAGTCCCAACATGGTTCCTTGATTCTCTCATCAGAAGGGATTAGCGTACAAGTTTTCTTGACCTGAAAAGTAACCTTTAGCTGACAAATGCATGTACGGAAATGAGAAACAGCGGTGTTTCTAACGCTTACCTACTTTTTTCTGGTCTCTTCTGATGTAAAAATATTTCAGGCTTCAAAAAACTATTGTTTCATATCTGCATATATTAAGGAAAGATTTAAATAATTAAGGTGCTTTCCTGAAGTGAGCACACATATAAATTTAAAATTTAAGGCTAAGCAATAAAGTATTCTCTTTGAATTAAAGTGAACTTGCTGAAATGATTCATTAAATCCTTAAAAATAATTCAAACTTCAAGAATATATACTAATGAATATTTCCTCTCTAGCTTGCAAATTAAGTTGGAAAAATCTACAAAGAAATAGCTGTCAATATAGAATGCTGATAAATCTATACAGATTCATGATTTTACTATAAAAATTCATTAACACATGAAATTTACACAATTGTCTATGTTTTGAGTATATAATTGGGAACCTCACAAAGCCAGTGATTTCACACAGGTAGATTTTCCGTTTTTCTAAGTGTACCCTTAAATCCCCAAAGATACAAATTTCTTGCAACAAGGTGTTACCAAAGGGAATGTAAAGATTGGAGACAGCTTTCTCAGAAATACCAAAGCCTCGTGCAATTTTGGATTTGGCTTAATGATACCAGAGAAATAATGTCAGCCTCGTGAATGGGTCAGGGAACAATTGACCAGTATCAAGAAGTTAGAAATTCCATGGAGACAAGTATTACTTATTTATTCTCTAAGTAATAATTTTCCCAAAAAGAACTTTTCTTTTTGCATAAATATAAATTATTGCACATTTAACTTGGTTAGGTTATAACAATATTTATACATCTGAAGATATTAAACCAATTATCAAAAATTAGATTTTAAGGAGATTTTTAAATTTGCTAGTTAAAACGTAAGATAATGATGCACAGAGATGTGAGCAATGTGAGTACCCTAGCCCATGCTATTTGTGGTTAAATTAGGAATAGATCTTTTCCTTCCTGGAAAAAGGAAAAAAGATCTTTATTAAAGGCTGGGTTTTTAATTGGATGCTAGCTAGGCATTAATACGGCCGTTTTTGTAACTGAAGTGACTGAGCTCAGGTAACTGTCCCAAAATTATATGGTTAGTAAGCAGGAGGAGCAGAGTTTTGAATTCAGGTTTGCTTGACCCTGAAAACTCTATTCCTTTCACTATGACAGATTTTCTCTGCTTCCGCTACTTTCCTGTGACACGATATGCATTTCAGAAGTATTCATTATGTGATCTTTTAAATAAAAAATACATGCTGATTTATGATGAAATATGTTATAAATCAGCAGAACATTTTGGCAAAGCAAATTGAATATAAGCAGATATCTATAGAAGTAACTGGGAGCAAACTTTCTGGAAACTGCTTACCCCAAGAAATGGGAGGGGCCAGAGTGTTGCTGGACACAACTAGAATTTGGCGCTTGGATCTTGGTTAAAGAAAAAAATTATTCAATGACTCTCGTTAAAGATGGTAAGGAAGAATTTATTCAAGGGATGCCATTGTGATTGAAATAGGGACCACTGCAACAGGGTCTTGCAGTGGGAGAGAGAGATTGGGCTCAACTCTAATAGCATGGGCAAGTGAGAATTTATAGCCAAGGCTCAGGATGGGAGTCAGTGTATGGAAAATTACTAAGAGGAAACATCAAGGATAAGGGGGGATTCTGGCTAAAGTGACCTAACAGGAGTCTTGCTAAAGGCAGCCAGGGTACTCAGACATCACCTGGGAGATGGTGAAGAATGAGGAACCCAATGACATATCAAAGGCGATCAGATATAGAGGGTGGGGGATTCTAGCTACACGAATTTTGCAGAATTCCTGCTAAGACTGGACATTGCAGAGACGAACATGGAAGTCCAAAGGTGGAGGTCAAGTTGAAAAAGTTCAGTGACGCCTAAGTAGAGTTTGATCGAGGAGAGAATCTTTGTCAATGTCTTCAGGACTGCTTTCTTCCATCTTTTCTTTCGGCAATTCTTTGTGTCCTGGTTTCTCTGAAACCTGCTGTCTCCACAATGCCAGAACTGTGGTCGCCAGCAGCCCTGGGTTTTTCATGATGAAAGGAAATCAGCTTTCAACCACCCTCCCCGACTCCCACAATTCCTAGTTATAACACTCTTTGGAAAGTAGCCTAATCTGGCTTGGACCATGTGTCTATCCCCTGGATGAATTACAGTCTAGTCAGGGATAAAGGGATAAAAACTGTGATAGGCTGATCTTGGATCAGATGCTCGTCCTTCACCTGGTCACCGTTGTCCTGAAAGTACAACATGTAAACAAGACAAGCCTACTCCCTTCAAAACACTTTCCCCAGGAAAGGGGAAGGGTATTGGCCTGGAAAAAAACAAGACAATAAATGTACCTTACCTACTTCGAAATACGTCCTCATTTGCTTAAATAATTCAAATTGGGTTCAGTCATTGTGACTAAAAAAGTTTACATTATTAAATGAAAATATTTTTGTTATGCTTGATAAACTATACTAAAGAAGGAAAGAGAAAGTTCTGTATGTACATACAACATCCATTTTAATGTAGCAGTCAATGTTTGTTACCATCTAGCATTCCATTTCCTCTCATTCTCATAAGAACCCAATTTGCATATGGATGTTGACTCCTCTGCGGTCAAGGTGATCCACCCCAACTTCCAAGGTTGGGCTTGACTGTCTCAGGGAAATCCCACAGTGATTAGTTCAATGACCTAGACTTAAATCAATCAGTGAATGGCCTTCTGTTGGCCACAGGGCTCAGGGACCAGGATTAACATAATTCCTGAGGTGAAATTGGAGGGAGTTTTCCTGGGGGTGACAGAAAAGAAGTCTTCTGAGTCATTATGAGAGCAAAATCAAGAAAAAAACGACCTCTGCCCTACCACACATCTTGACTTGTGGATGTGTGAGGCCTGGCACTGCTGGAGGCATTTTGCAACCAGAAGGGAAGCTGGCTCTGGGACTAAGTCAAGGCCCTTGGAAGAGCACAGCTGAGGAATTGCAGACAAATGAAAGCAGGCTCGAAGAGAACTGGAGTTTGTCCTGCCTCTGGATATCAGCTATCTAAACAAACACATGTTCATCAATTTCAGTTATTTACACTCTTTTTTTCTGATACTTACATTAAAAAACATCTTGAGACATCCAGCTTTAACTATGATGTCATTATAAACAAGGTAAATGATCGACCAAAGAGGAGTGGAAAATAAATTTTAAAATATCCACTCGAAGAAATATTTGGGAGACATTAAGTGTTATAATCATGAAAACAATGCAGCAGTAGGTTACTTTTAAGGTTACACGTAAATTATTTGTTTTACCTTCTATTCCCTGAGCTATCAGACGGCATCTAGCAGTCATATTAAGCATCAAATTCTGACTTGAATGCAGTCTGGCCTCAGAGGTCTGCCATCATTGAGAAGGAGATATTCCATAAAGGCTCCGCCCAGACTACTCACGCTCTCTCCTTTTTCTTCTTTTTTTAATAAGCTAAGAATTTTCATGGGACCATTTGTGTGATGTGTTACTTCCTGCTTTATTGGAGCAGGGTGCATAATTTAATGTTTTCTTGATGACTGAGGGTCATCATTGTGCATATCAATGGTACAGTGTAATAGTAAAGAAATTATTTGAGGAGACATCTACCTCGAGGGCCCATGCCTTTTCAATTCTTGGGTCAGTTCGTTGTATTTGCTTTTTATAATTATTTTGTGAATTTTACGGTTCCTCTGACTTGCCCCTCTCTGTCAGGGTGTCAGATGTCATTTCTTGCCACTCTTTGATGGCCTGCCAATATGGTCATGGCCCCTTCTAATTTTCTGCTTTTAACCTGTTCTAGATTAGAAAGTCAAATAGGCATGCTGTTTAGAACTGTGTATAGAAAAGGAGTCAAGAGTTTTCAGTAAGGGATTTGTCTAACATACCAAGTTCTGGAACAAGGACACTGACTTATTTCATTTGGGGTGTCCAGATACTTCAAGACAGATAGATAGAGTCAGGAAAAACTATCTTACCATTTGTTAATTACAAAATAAAGAAATCACTTGTTTGCGAAAGGAATTTTGCTGTTGAATCTCTTAAAGTTAAAGAGATTGTCTTGAGCAGTATTTGCATTAAATTAACTTGGACTTTGCCCTGAAGTAGGTTTGTTGCCAAGTGACCTGTAAATGTTAGACCTGCGATGAGTCTCAAGCTAGAAAGCACATTAGTCAAGATGCCTTATGATCCTTCAATTTACCAAGTGCACATCAATTTTTGATGGTATTTCTTAATTATTCTTAGCTAAGAACAGAGCTAATCTGTTATCAGGACAATCTTTTTCATAGTGCCCAGGTCTGCCATACAAAAATTTTGAAGTAAACATGCTCCTTTTCTTTCACTAAATGTACACACATTTCTGCTAATGGATGTTTTTGAAAGAAAAATGAATTATTGACTAAATATTCTTTAAATCTACAGTAACTTGAATTGACGCCTTTTGGTTGAGTTCATCTTAAGTATCAATGGATAGTATTTAATATGACATCAATTTGAAACATATAAAAATGAGGCCTAAATTGTTTCCTTGATGCTTTAAATACATTATCTTCTCAGTTATCTTTTATATATGCACTTTGTAGAATAGCAACCTTTAGTCCTTGTCCTTCCACCAGGGAAGGCATATAACGTGCTGTCTGGTGTAACAAAGTGTCTTCAGAAGCTCTTTAATATCTAATTTGCTAACTCCAGTTTCGCAGTTTTCAATCTGAAATGCAGATATGTAAATTGGATCATAGAGAAAACGTTTCACTTGGAGAAATATTATTAGAAGCTTCAAAAATAAATATCTTTTCTCTTTTCAAGAAGAATGAAACTTTGTTTTGAGTCCTATAAAGTTTGAGCCACTCTAAACAAAAAAAAAAAAACAAAAAAGTAAAGGAAGGATTCTAGACTTGTCTGGTATAAGGAAGATGTTTGCTTCATGAGAAACTTCCCTCAGAATCAAGTCTATACAGATTATCCTTTAAAACGTTTTCCTCAGTTTTGCCTTTCTGCCTTTGACTGAACTGAGCCTAACCCTTGAATGTTGCTGAATTTATCTCTCTGGGAAAACAAACTCTCTGGCATTTTCTACACACAATTGGGTTTCTTAGCTGCTAGAAAGATTTGAGCGATCATGGGTTGCTTCATTATTAAAGACATATGATGCCTGTTGTACACATTTCCCCCTGGGCAACAGAGCTGATAAAAGAATAAAGAACTTCAAGAATCTGTATTTCGAAAATAAGTCCCAAGGTATCTTTCTTTCATTTTTTTTTAAGTTGTAGGAAAGCTTGCAAGATAATTTCCATTTTTATTTAGCTTTGTACTTATTGTGAAGCTGTGAGAGAACACAGCATTCACCAGATGAAATTATTTGCCACATGAAATCAACGTGTTATTTTACCTTTTTTGCCCACAGTTGGTGATGTTAATGAGACCTTCCTGAAAATGGGAATTTGAAGTCAGTCCTAATCGGAATCCTGATCGCAGGCATAGTGTAATTCCAAAGAGAGCGAATGTGGTTTACTCCTGAATGTTTCAGACTCTTAACTTGAACACTTTCTTTATCCCAGGTAAGATTGTTGTGGTGGTTGTGAAGTCAGTAGGTGACAGCCTACATCTGTCCTAATGCCTCAATGTAACCCCTGGTTCTATTATCAGAGCGTCATTGTTGTAAATCTATCAAATTGCCAGGTCCTTTGCAAGCAGCTTGGAAGGGGAGTGGCCAGCTGTAAAGAGGTGCTTCCTTTTTCTATGTCAGGGGGACAAGGCAATCCTAATCCAGATGCGCTCCCATCTACTGGGCTATGGAGCTTTCCACAAGTGCATTAAATGGCTGAGAGACTCCTTTTGTTAGTGCAAAGGACGGGAGCTGGAAAGGTGAAGTCACAAGGGGACAACAGCTGCTAGAAATCAGCCCAGAAGCAGGAGCTGACAGCGTTCCAAAAGCAGTTTTTCAGTTTCTGCAGAGTCGGCCATTGACAGATGGACTTGGATCCAAACGTCACAAGGGAGAAACTACACGTTCTAGAAGTTAGCACTGAGGTCCTTTAGCTGTCGAAGTCCCATGTGCTAGAGCTATGCAAAGAAAGTGCTCTAGCTATATAGGTAAGGTGCCATAGCTATAGTCTTAAAGATATGTTATCAATAAAGACAGAATCTTCTCTGTGATATGGTCCCCAAATTTGCAGAAATCTCTTTGTGTGCCAGCCCCGAGCCCAGGGCTTCATAAAGAGACCTGCTCAGAGTGAGTGTTCAGTAAATTCTTGTTAAACATAACAGCTTCAAACTATGGCTGAACTCTTTCTGTCCGAGTGTCATACACGACTGGCTGTGGAAAAATGCATTTTCTTAACTTACTACTCACCTCTAAATTTCCCCTTTAGTTTTCTCAGTTTTACAAATCTTCTCTGGTTGGAAAGCTGTTAAAGTAAGAAAATCATGGAAGTCAAGGCTGAAGTAGACTTTAAAGAGGAGGTACGTATCAGACCATTAATTTTAAAGATGAGGAAATTGTGGCCCAGAGAGGTGGAACGTTTTGGCAAAAGTCACAAAGTTAGCTGGATACAGAAGCCAGGACTAAAAACTAGGTCTTTTAAACTTCAATATTGTACTCCCTACTTTTTAAATAATTGGAATATGTCCATATTTCTTACTATGCTGTGGGATGAGTGAATAATTTTGTATATTTTATCCTAAACATAAATTTATTGAGCACTATTTGACAGGCACTATTTTCTTTATAAATTATTTCAGTAAATCCTCACAACAACCTTATGAAGTAACTTGTCTCAATTTTACATGAGTCATATTACATATATAAGAAATATTTTTATACTGATATTGTTTATCACTATATATAAATATTTATTTGTCTATCTATATCTATCTATCCAGTCAGTGCTGGTGGTCTAGTGGTTAAGATTTGGCGCTCTCACCGCCACAGCCCAGGTTCGTTTCCTGGTCAGGGAACCACACCACCCATCTGTCGGTTGTCATACTGTGGCGGCTGCGTGTTGCTGTGATGCTGAAAGCTGTGCCACAGGGATTTCAAATACCAGCAGAGTCACCCATGGTGGACACGTTTCAGCGAAGCTTCCTGACTAAGACAGACTGGGAAGAAGGACCTGGCCACCCACTTCTAAAAAAATTGGCCATATGGAAACTCTGTGAATAGCAGCAGAACATTGTCTGATACAGTGCGGGAAGGTGAGAGGATGGCGCAGAAAGACCGGGCAGGGTTCCGCTCTGTTGTACACAGGGTTGCTGGGAGTGGGAAACGACTGACGGGCTCTAACAACAACAAATACATCTATTTATCTGTCTATCTATCTTTCTATCGTCTTCCCTCTATCTGTTTTTCTGGTCACAGAAAATAGGTAGATGCATAACTGGTTAAGCAGGGGTAGTCTATGTAAGAAGACTCACTCTATTTCACTCAATAAACCAACACAATGCCCAGAAGTTAAGCTTAAGCAAAGAACAATCAAATTGCTAGGCCTGAACCACTGCATCATCAGAATATACAACATTTTAATTCAAAACAAACAGTCAAACAAACAATACAAAGAAACATAATTTAATGGCATATCTAGTATTTTAGCAAATACACACATATTTCCAAAGATTACTGTAAGGATCTTTTTTTTTTTTTTTTTTTTAAAGATTTTATTTTTTCCTTTTTCTCCCCAAAGTCCCCCGGTACATAGTTGTGTATTCTTCATTGTGGGTTCCTCTAGTTGTGGCATGTGGGACGCTGCCTCAGCGTGGTCTGACGAGCAGTGCCATGTCCGCGCCCTGGATTCGAACCGACGAAACACTGGGCCGCCTGCAGCGGAGCGCACGAACTTAACCACTTGGCCACGGGGCCAGCCCCACTGTAAGGATCTTTATTGTGCTAAAAACATAGTTCTTGCTTTCTCAATTGAGTCTTAAAAAGCTAAGCTAAGGTGTAACTTAGGGAAAATGCAAAGCTTTATAACATGAAGAAAGGTGATCGTAGTGCTACATGTGGATCCACAGTTAAACAATATTTACATAGTCACAATGATGTAAGCAGTGAATACACCAAATCAAATACTCTGGTATATGTCCATTTGCTGATTGGGAATGGAAGATGGGTGGTGGTATCAGAAAAATAGATAGCCAAACCTCGACAATCTTAACAGGCAGGTAGCAGATGCTGTAACCAGATTATCGAACAATCTGAACTCAGTGGGGTAAAAACAGGGGAAAAAAGGTAATTTTTCTCCCATCACTGTGTTTTCACCTGCTCTGTCAGATCCTCCATCACTTTCTGGTCCCTTTCACGTATCAGCAAAAGTTAATTGTGACTACTTTTAGGTATTATGTCCAGACCGCTCCAACTTAAACCTTCAATGTCATCTCTAATTCGATTTCCCTCCATCCTCAAGTTCAGGCTGTCCTGGGGTTGGCTCGGAGACTTGCAATGGGGAAGTGATTATAGGGTCTGTCCTTTCCCTCTTCCTCCAGCTCTCTCCCCACCCTCCATACTTCCTGGCCCCTCCACAGGGGTAGGAGATGAAAGGAGTGAAGAGCTTAGGGCAAGGGTGGCAAAGACCTTATGTCATCGGTGCTTTTGTAATTCAGCTACTGGCATCTTCTGTGTGGCAGAAGTTCACAGGTTGGCTCTCTTGAGGAGCATATTAGAGGTTTTCTTGGGGAGTCTGTGGTGATCTCCAACCTGCACAGTTGCCCGTATTAAATAATGTGCTCTTTGCTCATGTCTTGTGACCTGACCCCCCAACACACACACACACACACACACACACACTTATTTTACTTTTGAAGAATTCTCTGCCACACTCCACCATCCTGCTCAGTTGGGGCTGAAGGTCTTTTGTACCTGGCACACGTTGGCCATTCTGAGAGTTCCCCTATATCCCTTCTTGATCCTCTGTGAGCTTCCCTGTTCCTAAAAGCAATGCCTTATCTCTTCATCTGCTTCCTTGTTTGCTTGGAGCACATCCCCAAAGAGCTTCCTAAGAAAAGGCTAAGATTTGTTGGAGTTCTTCCACGTTTGAAAATGTTTTTCTCCCTGCTCACTTTATGAACCAGTTTTCTGAGTATAAAGTTTAGGTTGAAATGCCATTTCCACCAGAAATGTGAATGTGGTGTTCACCGTCTTCTCAGGCAAGAAGGAAATAGAGGAATGGGCCTGAGGATTCAAGCTCTGGTTTCCTTGGTTTCAATCTTATATCCTGCTTCCCGCCAGGACTAACTGTATTTTTCACAGAGAATTCAGCTTTTCCAATCCTATCAAACTCGACTACTTGATTTGCAGGCATCACAGATTACTAGCCACAAACAGTAACCCATGGCCTTAAGGTCTTTTCGGTTTTTCCACACTTAAAGAAATATTGTTAAGCACATCAATTTTCATTTTTCACTGAAGGAAAACTTAGATATAAGAAAACACAAAGATCTTAGGGATGTAATTCAATGAGTTTTGAAAATGTAAACACCCGCGTATCTAATATCCCAGTCAAGGTCAGGAACATTTCCATCACGCTAGAAAGTGACTTCAGTTCTCTTCCAGCTAATCCCTACCTGACAGAGGCAACCACTGTTCTGATTTTACCACCATAGGTTAGTACTTTCATAGTCTTCCTCTCTTGCCAATTTGTCTAGGTCAGAAATAGTAGAAGTGTAAGTGTTAATGCTGCCCCTGAAAAGGCCGTGTCTACTCAGTGCAGAATGAAGGCTCTTCGCTGCCGCCCGTCTTATAAGCTCCTAGTCATACAGATTATATCAACTAAAGTTTCTGTTGCCTTTTCTCCTTTATCTCCCCTTGGGTAAGACAGCTGGGAGAGTGAGTGGAATTGGTGCAGGAGGGAGATTTTAATTTGGGAAGGCAGAAGAGAGCCCTTGGATAGAGTTGAGCCTGAGATGGAAGTGATATTGTTAGGGATAGGGTTAGGGTAAAACCAAGTGCTATGATGGGGATGCATCATAGCAACAGTCTGTTCTGAACTTCATCAAAATGGAAGCATATGGTAGGTAATCTTTTGTGTCTGGATTGTTTTGCTCAACATAATGTTTGAGATTCGTTCATTGTATTGCATGTAGCAGTAGTTGATGATGATGGTGATGATGATGGATAGTATTCCAGTCTATGACTACATCACAAATTGTTTTTCTATATTCCTGCTGAGACACTCTTGAACTGTTTCCAGTTTGGGGATAGAATTGATTAAAGTTGCTATAAACCTTCATGTGCAAACTTTTGTGTATAAAAGTATTTTCATTTTGTCTTTGGTAAATGCTTTGATTTAGTAAGTGAATGTTTAGTTTTATAGGAAATGCCAAACATATTTCCACAGTGGTTCTGCTATTTCACCCTCTCGCCAGCAATGTGTGAGTGTTCCAGTTGCTGCACATTCTTGCCAAGATTTGGTATTATCGGGTCCTTCAATTTGTTTCTAACTGATGTGGTTTTAATTTGCATTTTCCTGATGACTGATGGTGTTGAGTATCTTTCCACATGCTTATTAATTACTTCAATTTGTTGTTTTGTGAAGTGTCTTTCAATATTTTACCCATTTTTAATTTTATTGTTGTTCTTTTTTTTGAATTGTGGGAGTTTAGATATTCTGGATTCAAGTCCTGTGTTAGATATATGTATTACAAATATTGTTCCAGGCTTTTCATTTTCTTATGGTGTCCTTTTTTTTTTTTTTTGGCTAAGGAAGATTAGCCCTGAGCTAACATCCATGCCAGTCTTCCTCTATTTTGTATGTGGGTCACTGCCACAGCATGGCTGACAATTGGTGTGAGTCTGCACCCAGGATCCCAACCCACAAACTCAGGCCGCCGAAGTAGAATGCGCCAACCTAACCACCATGCCAGGGGGCCAGCCCCTCTTATAGTGTCGTTTGACCAGCAGAAGTTTTTAATTTAGATAAAGTCCAATGTATTATATGTTTTTCTTTTCTTGTTGGTGCTTTTTTCTTTAGTCCTTTCTCAGAAGTCTTTATCTACCTGAGGTTCTCAGGAATATATGTCTATGTTTACTTCCAGAAATGTTATAGTTTTGGTTTTATGTTTTACGTCTATGATCTTCTGCAATGATTTTTTTACTATTGTGAGATAGTGGTTAAAGTTAATAGTTTTTCATGCTCTTATCTCATTTTCCAGACCATTTCTTGATAAGACTTTTCATTCCCGATTGAATTGCTCGGATGTGCCTTGTGGAAAATCAGAGTCTATTTCTGGATTTTCTTTTCTCTTCCACTAATCTATTTATCTACCATTCTGCCCTGTCTTTATTACTGTAGCTTCATAGCAACAAAGAAGCAAATAAGTAAATGAGAAAACTAAGACTACTTTTTTCCTTGTTCCTACTTTCAGATGTGCCGCATTTGACCATATGCTTTATCTTTCCTTAAGGACATAGGATGAAAGATTTAGCTGTCTTCTGACATTTTATACTTATTAACCTAAAATTCCAGCTACAGTGGAGACATCACCAGACTCCTAAAATATAGCAAGAGATAATTTAACCAGTTGCTTTGTTATTGCATAACAGGCAATGTCAATGATCTCCCTCGGGTAGAGCAGTTCCAGCTTTCTCCTATTCCACTTGGAGTCAGTCAATCCAAAAGCTTACACTTTACCCCACCTGCAAGTATCCATTTCTATAAATTTGAATCTTTAAACTTTAAGTGACAGAATCCCAATTATAATTTTGCTTAAAATAGTCATAATAAATACAAAACGGATTATTTTATTTTATATAATGGAAAAATCCAGAAATGAGAAAGCCAGTGTTAGGAAGAGCCAAAGAGTATCATCAGTACTTCATCAGTCTCTCCACTGTTCCCCACTCCTCTTCCCAGCCACCACTTCTATCCATCTCTCAGCTCTTTTATTCTCCGTGTTGGCTGCTTCTCAGGCAGGCTCTCACTATACAGAGGCCCTTGGCAGCTCTCGGCTTATCAATTTAGCTTCTCTTTCCAATGATTTCTGAAAGAGTCTTGGGCTTAACTCCCTGGCTCAGACAGGGTCACATGCCTGTCCTTGAGCTACTCATTGTAAAGCTATCTGACTGTGTATCGGCTACTTCCCATTCCTCAGAGCAGGATAGATTGGGCCAGATTTACCTGAATTACTTAGCAAAGAAAAATAGAGTGCAATTGCCAGACAAAGGGAAAAATGCATGCTGAGCAGAAAATAGCAAAGGACTATTACTACAGTTTGAGGATGTCGAAGAGTTAAATTATATAACCATGCTGAAGTACTTATTTTTAAAAGAAGTCTCATTCCGTAATTTTTTCCCTCTACTCTCTGCCTTCTGTCCCAGAGGAGGAAGTCTTTGATTTCTTCTTGCAACGTAATTCAAGGGGTCTCTGATGTGAAATGAATCCTCAAAGTTTATCTGAAAACACTGAAGCCATACCAGGTTTGTCTGTCAAAATTTCTGACGTGTGGTTGGATATCAAACAATGTATATCTTTTTACTTTTCAATAACATTTCCTGGCTACTAACGATAGTGGCATGAATGCATTGCCATGCTATAATCAGTTCCAGGCTCCGTTTTGATAGTTTATAATGTAATTTCTCTGAAAGAAATTTTAGATAAAATAATTGGCATTCTGATCTCTGCAAGTATGCTTCATTTTATAGTGATTAAAAAAGGCCATTTAGCTGATTTGTCAGCCTTGTAATAACTTGCTGTTAGAAACTCTTCAGAGTCCTTTGGAGAAGGGCCATTTTATACGGATAAAGGGGGAGGAGAGCTTAAATCTTTCTGAAGTCACTTTTTGGTCTTTGACGCAAATCACTCAAAGACCATGTATAACTTAACTCCAACATTACCTCCAAGGTAAGCAAGCTTGTTTTAGCATCACTTTTTGATCTCTGGACAAATGGCTCTATATTTCTGTAGATCCGTGGGGCCACCAGGATAAGTCACTGTCCTCGGGGGACCTGAAGGGTTATCTTCTAATACCATCGCTTAATAAAAACATGCTTGAAAATGAATTGTTACGCACATCAATAACCATCTTTGTTTAGTTAAAAGAACTCACCTTCCTAATTCCACAGTCAGAGACCGAGAGTCCTAGAATTAATTGGACACCACTCTACATGGTGCATCAAGCAACCCGTTCTACTTGGCCAGCATTTAGCTCAGAGACTAGCAAACTCAATTATCCTTTCCTTACTTGTAGAGTTATTTCATCTTGACCCCTTCTAGCTTTAGAACACATGGTGATAGAACTCTCTGGAAAACTCATTTCTCTTAAAGCCATTAGCATCTGTTTTTGCACCTTCCGCCTTGCTTACCCTCAGCATCTGCTTGCAGCCCTTCTGGCCCCTTTCCTAGTAGCCAATCGTATTGCAAAGGGCTTTGCCCTCACCTTTGTTGTTGAGAACATCACTTTCCATCTCTCCACCCTTCTTTCTCTTTGGTTGTTTTAAGTATATTTATAAAAAATTGAAAACAACTGGAAGACTTTTTTTCAATGAGATGTTATCAAGATGGATAGTTAGCATCATGCAAGCTATTTCGCTGTCTCTCCCTTTTCCCCAGTAACCTCTGCACTAGCTTTCACAGATTGTGACATTCTTACGTAGGAAATGAAGTCCTCCTTACCCGAAGTCTGTTCACCTGTCAGGGGAAGATAAGAGAAAGGGCCTCCAGTAGCAGGAAAGATGCTTGCAATCCCAATGGAGCGTGCAGGTGAAGGGAAAGAGGAAGCAGAGGTTCACAAGTGTCTCTTGGGCTTTGGCGAAGCTGTGGTTCTCCTGATTTCTGTGGCTCCTGCTGTTTAGTGACTGCTTTGGGGTTTCTCCAGGCTTCTGACACAAAGATTCCTAAGAGGCTCCTCTGATGATTGTTTCTTCTTTGACATCCTGGGTTTCCCAGGACTGCCACTGACAAAGCGGCCTTGTCCTGTTCCTCGTCTCTCCAGTATTGCTGCCTAGTGCCTGTAGCTCTTAGTCAATGCATTAGACTAATTGTCAAAAATGCAACAAAGTATTTTTGCTTGTTTATAAATATTTTCTTATTGCTTACATGTAGTTGTTCCATTATCCTACTACTAAACTTGATCATTTCTCTGTTATGTTTCAATATCCATATAAGAAGCAGTACAAAGCAGTGGGTAGAGATCATAGGTCTTGGTGAGAAACTGTCTAAATTCTTGTCGTAACTCCAACTATCACCAGCTGTGTGACTTAGGAAAGCCACTTAATCTCTCTGTGCTACACTTTCTCAATCACAAAATAAATATAATAGTAATACTATAGGAACACTATATCAAAGGTTATTGGAAGGAGTTAGTATCTACAACCCTTGTCCAAACCCTTGAGACTAGATATATTCTAGAATTAGGAAATTTTAATTTTTTAAAAAAGGGTTACATGGAATATGTACGATGTATTACATAATACCCCATGACAGATTTTGGAGAGCATAGTCAAGCATATTAACAATTCTGCAGGAAAATATACAAATATTCACAGTAAGTCAAATAAATAAAGACTAGAAATAGCCACAGAGCAGTTCAGGTCAAGTTTTGCCATCAAATGAGTTCAAGGTGGGTCAGGTGTTGCTGTCAAATGAGTTTTGAAAACAGTATATTTTGGAGCTGCGACCCCATGAGTGTGGTGTGTAGCCAAGTGTCAGCACATACTGAGTTCCCCAAAGACATTGTCTATTATTATTAATATTATTATTCAGTAAAAGCATTTATTGTGTCGACCACATACTGTTTATTTTGACATATTTTATTGTCCTATGGAACCTCTTGGTTAAGGTCAGGGACCCTCCCTTCCTGTCAGGCATTGATTAATTGATACTTTCTTTTTTTAAGGCTCTGGGTAAAAACTTCAGAACTTGAAGAGACAGGTGTCAGTCAGAAGAGTTTTTCTAACAAAATCCTTTTATTTTCTCCTCTGGATAAGTTTAATATTCAGATACAGACCACATTTTTTTAAAAAATTTTTTTGAAGTATAATTGGCGAATAAAATTGAAAGATATTTAAAGTGTATAACGCGATGATTTGATATATATATCAGTGTGAAAGAATTCCCCTCATTGAGGTAATTAACACATCCATCACCTCACGTAAGTAGAACGTTCAAGTTCTACTCTCTCAGCAAACTCCAATTATATAACACAGTGTTGTCAATTATAGTCATCATGTTCTACATTAGATTCTTAACTTATATAAATTATACCTTGGCATTAGAGCAGAGGAAGACAGGGTACCATCCTCTGCTAATAACAGTTTATTGCATCTATATGTTCACAGATGAAAGAAGCCTTATCCCAAGCCAACTGGCCAAGGCCTTGATTTGCAGGACAGACCTCCCATATTTTAAACCCAAATATATCTAGTAAGGTGCCTAAATGATAGGAGAGGTTATCGTTAAATTTTTTTTCAGGAAAATTTCTGTAAGTAGTCTGGTCCCTAGTTTTCATTTTTTAAAATTCTTTTACTGTTTTATGATTATAGACCAAAAAAAAGAAACATCCTATAAATTTTTCTGTAAGTATTTGGCCCCGGTTTTCATTTTTTACTGATAAATAACCAACGATTGAATATAAGAAATCATATATGTATATATACAGATGTATGGTATTATTTGATATATAGGTATGAAAATATCTATACATTCATAGGTAGATAGAAATACAGATATCTCCTATAAGAAAGCCATCTAGATTTTTTCCCCCAAAAAACCTTTTTTTCAGGACACATCTCCTCTATCCATTCACAGAAATGTGACATTCACTCAGGAGGCCACTTTATCTCCAGCCTAAAATTCCGGACGCACTGCACACTTGGTACGCTGCCCTTCAGGATCACTACCAGTTGAACCTAAATTCTGCGGCCATTACCCTGAAAAGTACATCAGGCTATGAAACAAGCTCTCAAAGGAAAGCAGTTTTTCAAGCTACATTATGGTGCTTTTAAAAGGAATAAAATCCTTAATGAGAAAATGACTCTCTTGAGACTTCTGGCTCCAAGGTGAGCTTTGCACACTTGCCCTCTCCGTTGGCAGAGAATCTGTTAAGGGACATTTCTGGGAACCCATTCTGTAAAAGGTCCAGGATGAAATAGGATGACAGCCGGTTCTCTGGAGCCTCCGTTGGGCAACTTTATAATTCTCTGACAGATTTTCTCTGAAGCTATTCCCACACAGCAATACCCAAATCACCCAGCCTCCACCCTTCTACATACCCACCAAGGAGGGAGAAAGTGGGTTGCTAAGGAATGTGTTGCAACAGCACCTGATGGAACTAACACTTGTCAGCTAATAACAGTTTGGTGTGAATAAACTTATCAGAATCTTCCCAAGTGGATGAGTACATTGTCAGCTTCTGGAGGACTTGGGCCCTATATTTATTTATCTTAATTTCTATTCACATCTAGTGCAGTGCTAAATAAATATTTTGGAGTATCAGCTGAGGTCGGCCTACTCTACAATATAGCCCTCAGCTGGCTTCTCCAGTTTGGGCATGAGAAGCAAGGGGGTCTTTTTCTAGTCCCTGCTGCTCGTTGCTTGAGTCTGCGCCGTAAGTGGTACAAAGACATGGCAGCTTTTAGAGGTGACCTGGAGCGTGACAGAACTTACCTGGATCTTGGGCGTGATGATTAGGGGAGAAAATGATGCTTCAGATTCAGAATCATTCACCAAATGCTAAGATGGATATTGGGAATATTGCTGAATAAAGGATAATGGAAAATCTCTAAAAATTACTGTGCGTAAGACTTTCAGCATCTCTCTAGGTGGTCTCCATTAGTTGGTGGTGTAATTTAGGTGTGACGGCCCCTCCTGCAGGAGAGTGGTAAAATGAAGCTTGATAATAGGATACAGAAAGCAGGATTGGCTCATTTTGTTCCTTCCAACTTCCCAGGCACCCACATTTAAGGCTTCTTGGTAAGTTACAATGAACACTCTAGCATTATGAGAAATGGAGATGACACTAAAATGTAATTACATTTAATTTATGGAATACAGAATAATAACATCCTGTAAACTAGGACAAGTAAGAGAAAGAGACAATCTAATCTGGTTTCCTGAGCCTCTTTCCTCTCTACCTTTTTAGCATTAACCAAGGCTCACTGTAACACGTATTCTAAGGAGATGGATTCACTGGCGTGGTTCTTTGTTATCTTTCCTTTCCCCAGAAATGTAATTAAGAAGCAAATCATATTACCTTGATGACAGAGACAAAGTGTGTCAGAAATGGCATTATTACTGCAAAATTACAGAAAACACAGACTCCGTTCCCACTTCCAATTTATCACAATAGTGATAAAAGGTCTGAATGCTCCTAAACGGTGAAATTGAATGAGACTTATCACCATTTTGTTACTTTTGAGCAGAACTAATTTCTTTTCACCCTTATGGAGTTAAGTATATAATTTACGATGCATTTCGCTGCTTCAGACGCTAGTAGTGTATATAACAGTAACAATCCTTGTGTTCTATTTGGAAGAAGTTTTTTCTCGAGCTCTTAATTGGTCTAGAAATTCACAGGATAAACCTACAAGTCATCAGAGTGGTAAGCAGTGTTCTTGATTAAGAAAAGGAGACACAGGGAGTTCAAGGTTTTATGCAGTTTGTTTAGTTCAAGTTTATGCAGCATTTATTTCCCAGGAGGTAAAAGATCACCACCTACTTAATTTCATGTACCTCCTCCCTCTGAGCTTCTGGGACGTGATAAAATCACTGGCGTATACTAGCTTACCCTGATGAGATCTGCTGTCAAATGTGACCTTTTTGTTCTTGTTCAGGCCAGACCCTGTCACCAACACGTGCCTGGAAGAGGCTTCAAACATCTGTTTAACTCCCTGTACACTGCCTTTCCCTCTGTTGGCCCACCCAGAGGCTGCAGCAGATTCCTCCCATGGTCAGAACGCTGGAAACCATCCACAGGCTCCAGCAGTGACTCCCAGCAGCTGAGGGGACTTTATGACAGGACATGTCCCAAGCTTTTTATCTTGTTAAGGAGACTATGATCATTTTAGGAGGCCAATCTCAGCTCAGACATTGTCCCGGGGGGTCTCTTTCCTCTTTAAAGACTTTCCAACCTAATTCTCCCTTCCCCAGCCCGGCACTTCGGTAAAGTGCACTGGTTCTCCCAGGATCTTTGTGTCAGGAGAGGATAAGAGGAGCCTTTCCTTTTTAGGACAAGAGCAAGAAGAAAAACTCAGAGCTGGGCGTGACATCAAGACTGACAGAGTGGAATTTTGCCCTAGCCCTGTGATCCTGGAACACAGAGAAGGTTAGAGAAACCCCCCCAGGCTTGGTGTTCCAGGAAACAGCATCCTGCAGAGAAGCCCCCTTCCATATATGACTTAGATACGCTCACAGATGCCCCCTCGACAAGGCCAGACACAAACTCTCCAAACTTGTATTCTTTGCCTCGTACACTGTTCCTCGCTGAACCGCTTGTCCCCACTGATCACTCAGGACCAAACACTGGTTAACCAAACTTGTTAAGTTCCTGCCCTTCACTCAGGTCTCTGAACTTTAAGCCACCCTGACAACCCCTCCCTAAGAGCCCCTGTCAAGAATAGGCTGGTCTCACAGTAGAACATTCTCTGAACTCGTGTCCCACCAGGCCACCCTTATCCCACTTCCCCACACCTGGCTCTTTCTAGCATTGTCTGCTCCTCCAGAGAAAGAAAGGCCTTTTCTGCTTAACTCTTGAGACACTCGCAAATCTCTGGTCAGCGTTCTCCCTGTTCCAGTAGTGCTTTCCCCCATCTTCCTGCTTATCCTGGCTTAGGCCCCATTAAATGCCTAGATGGTTCTTCCCCAGTGTCTCTCTGTCTCTCTCTCTCGCAAACAGATGTACACACTTCTCCAGAAGGGCTCCAATATGGCTATTTTTCTCTAATAAAGGAACAGGTGTGGTGATGCACAAGTTACAAGTAACATACCACAGAAAAGCAGATTTTTCTTTATCTCTGAATTTCTATCCACTTTTGATGTCCTCCCAAATTGCTTGGCAATCTCAAACCCCGTATTGAGATCTCTGTTTTATGTAGATGTGTCTTTCAAAACCTGTTGGTAAAGCCAATCAGTCTGACTCAGAAGAAAAATAAGCTCAGAAAACACAAGCAAGGCTCGTTTTAATTGTTTCTTTCCCCTCTCAGTAAACAGAGCATGATTTGCCATAAAAACGTCAAACTGTGGTATTTAACTGAATAAATTCTGAGGATTTTAGGTAGAATACATAATACTTATTCTGACATGGTATTGTTTCATGCTCATTCTAACCTGGTATTGCATTCTCAGAAGGGAGAAGAAGTCTTATAGGTTCGTGTGTTTTAAGTTAAAAATAGTATTTGTTTTTCCTAGCATTCGTGACTAGCCGTGGCCTAGGTAGACTCTCACGGTTTAAGCCTTTTCAAACTAAATTTGAAGCACCACTATTCTTTCCTATCAGAGTAAAACACATTCTAAATCCTAATAAATCTATTTCTTTAATATGCCACTTGATGCATAATAGTGCAAACACAAACACATAATGGGCTCCTCTTGAGAAAGGAAAATGTATTCACTCCTGATGAAAGATCTTTTGATAATTTACTCTTGGCTTCACCACTTGATTTATATCATCTTCCCACATTAATTTGTTTTTAATTTTTTTTCTGCCTTCTAAGGTTTTTCTCATTTCAGTGACATAGACATGACAGATGAGGTTGATGAACTCCGGAAGTGCAGACTCTAACTCAGATGAAAAGCTTAAATTATTGCGCAGTCCTACAGAATCTGGGGAAGAAACGTCGAAGTCTGGATTTCCAAGAGCTTGATCATAGCATTTTAGAAACAAGTGATGTATTCAAAACAACAAAAACCATGGTTACAACAGAGTGTATTTCTTTAGTTAATACTGAATGGCTCCCTGGAGTGTGTTTTTTCCAAGTCTTCAGCTAATTCCATTGTGTGCTTTAAAAATGATGGCAAGGCTATAGAAGCTCCTTAAAATCCCTTCTTTATGATAGACTTTAATTTCAAAAATGTATTCCTTCTATGAACTTTATTTTAATTTAGAGAAAAGTAAATAAGTTGTTTAATTACCTTCAGTGAAGGAAGGAAGTGATATAGATGACAATGCCTCAAGGTGAAACATTGTTTTCAAAAATAATACGTAATCCCTTTACAGGTTCTGCTCGTGTACCTTCACATGGAAGCTCCTATTCTGTTTTCCGGTCAAGGTAGAAGCTACTTATTGGATCATTTTTCTTTATTCTGTCTCAGTAATGAGAAATATATTTTGGTGATCTTTTTTCTGCGGTTAGATTGCCTGAATGTATTTCATGTATCTCTTCAATTGTCCTTTAATTTCCACCTACAGCCTCGCAAAGATGCTTGGTTTGAGGGCACGGCCCTGGCCAGAACACTGGCACCCCAGCACTTCCTCCTGGGTAAGCAAGGGTCATTGCGTATCACTTTCCTATCTGTAAAATGGAATTCTGGTGGAGATGAAGAAGGGTCATATATTTAAAGCATCAAATGTTGGGATTGATTAATTCATTGATGCTTCTAAACTTATTTGAGGATGACGTGTTCCATTTACTTAAACTATTCATTTTTTCCCCCAAAGCACCTGTATATATTGAACTTTTAATATTAGTCTGAACTGCAGTGGAAACATCGAATCTAACTGTGTACCCACTGGATGCTAGAAACATCCTGGTCCTATTTTTGGAATAAGTTTGGCTATAAAATTATGCAACCAGTGCAATTCATTTTTTTTCCTAAAAAATGCTTTTTTCCTTATGTTTTCCCATGCATATACTCCAAATAAACTTCATTCTATAACAATCCTTTTGGGAAATGAATTCTTCAGGAAGAGGTGGGAATAGAAACACTTTTAGGTAGTAAATTCCTTAGGAATAAATCAGTTTAGTTCATTTCTTACTTAACATCCCAGGAGCAATCTCTTTTTTCAGAGCCCTGGACTGGAAGCTTTCGGCTCGTTTGCTAAAATTTAAGGATCTTTAATCTGCAACTAAAGGAAGGTATGGCAAAGAATCTTCCTGCTAAAGCATCCTCTTAGCTCTATCATGGGAAGTCACCTAGTTGTTACAGCTTATGAGTAGGAAATTCTGTACAATCTGTGACAGTATGCAATATCTTCAAAATGTGTACTGTGGAGGAATTTGACCATGTAATTCTTATAGTTTAATTTCTACATGGACCCATGTTTTCAAGGCTATACCATAAGTACCTTAAGCTAGAACATTTCCTAGCAACCCACCCACACTACTGACTTATTTAGATGTGTTCTATGAAATTGTACATGAGAAGACTTCTTGAGAAGTCCTTTTGTTATTTTGGCTTTTTTTTTGTCACCAAGAACTGATATATTTCCCACTGATAAACGGCTTAATAATGAACAATTATCAGTGTGAATTTTGGAAGAAGCTATTTACAAATACTGTTTTTATGCATCCATGCTCTAATAATGGACTATTTCAATAAAAGTTACCCCTCATATTTTACTAAAGAGTTTTAAAATCTGATCCCGATATTCCTATAATGTGTTGTCTGATCATTTGTGTTTCTGAAATTAAGAATCCATTTACATGTCCTGATTACCAGAATTCTTTTTCAAAGTGTGATAATATAAACAAGTTGACTAAGATGGAATACTATAGCCATCGTATTAATGTTGGTGCTATTCATATGTTTTCATTAATCCCAAGCTTATACATCTTATGGAACAAAAATGTGGCTTAGAGAAGATAACTTGCCCAAGTTACACTGCTAGTCGTTAGCAACTTGAGATTTTAATCTGGTTGTCATAATTCCAAAGCCCATTCTTGCTCTTTGTCCTCTGTCCCAGTTCTGAGTATGTGTTTTATGGAGCACAGCTTCTGGCACAGAGTTGTCCCCAAAAATGATTTGTCGAGAGATGAATCAATAGAAAGTACTTACAGCAAATGGCCAGACTTCACACACACCTGTCCTACTGGGGAAGTATTTATTTAGAATGTGCACAGGATAATAGGAATTGTAGATGTGGGGTTTGCTGTTGCCCATTGCACTTTGGCTGAAACAGATATCAGACTTGGGGGAGAGACCTCGGCTCTCAGGCTGTGGGGTTTTTAAACTGAATTGTTGTGAAGCACTACCTCTTCCTGTCATGAGCCGGGGTCCAACTCTTGTGGTGGCTGCTATTTGGTGAATCGGCCAATAGCATGACCTGCTACCTGAGCTGCCTTGGTTTGGGGAGCACCAACTCCTGCTCTGACTTAATCATGAATTAGAGCCCCTCTATACTGCTACAGCAAATATGATGGGGTAGATGGGTGACCTAGTCACCACCTTGGTGCTCCACCAGCATTATTTGCCTTAAGCACTTGTATTGCAAATTTTCAAGGAACTTTGCAAGAGACCAACATGCAGGAAATTGCTTTGAATAAGTTACCTTTTTCCTTTTATGTATGTTATTGTTTATATAATTATTTTGTTTTATATATGTTCATAAAAATTGCCAGTGGTGCCATGTCTCCTTGATATCATTTGCTTAACCCCTCATTGAGTTCATTCTCTTTTTTCATTTTCTTTTTCTTTTGGGAAGGATATACAAACTTTCAAGGAAAATAAGATGATTTGTGAATGAGAATAGCAATGATAAGGCAGAATTAGTAGAACAATTACTTCTGCTTGCTACTTTTTTGGCAAACAAGGCCTGATTTGTTCGGGAAAGAGATGGAGTGGACAGTTCCCAACCTGGTATGATAAGAGGCAGCAGGGAAACTTGCTTGTTCTTCAAATACTCCCTTTTATTTTGACTACATTTTGAAAAATCCTGCTGTAAAAGGTTGTTCTGTTTAATTAAAGGCTTAAAATGACAGTTCTCCTGGGAGAGCTTACACTGAGTAACTATCAATCCCTTTTGTGGGAATGAATTTCTGAAGAGTTAATAAGAAAAGGAATTTAGAGGGGCCAGTAGTAAGAAGAGCCTCTATAAAATTACTGAATGTAGCATAGGATGGCGAGAGCAGCCACTCAACAGGAAATCATTGTTGATGCCATCAAGGTCAGATTTGTCTCTTCAAAGTTTTTTCTACACCCAATGCTGCCCTAACCTATGACTTATCAAGTGGCAGTTGCTTGTTCTTTTAAAGTTTACATATGTCCAACATCTGGATCATGGAAAATTTCAACTATACTCTCAATATATTTGAGTATTTGAAAATAAATGGCTAATCAACTACTCTTCTTTTAACCTTCTTTCCAGATGGAAGAAATCATAATCCCAAATGAAATTTGGGATCACCCTGAACATTACAGTTTAATCTACTTAACAAAAGAATAAACTTGGAAATGATAAACTGAATAATTTTTCTCTAAACTGAATATTATGGATAAAACTATGGAACCATCTCATTCAGCTAAGATTACATACAATTTTATTTATACTGTGGATCCCAGGAGAATATAAAGGTAGCATTTGAATTTATTTATATTCTCTTGCTTGTTATTCAGTATTGACTCTAGTGGGATCAATAAGTAAAAAATGGTAGGGATCTGTATAGATCATACTTTAAACAATTTGTTGCCTCTTCTTCTTGGTCTTAGGCTACCTTCTATTTTTTTGTTTTGAAAGGCACAAGTGTATTAATCATTTGCCTGGATGTAACAAAATCCGCTCATAATTTCTTAGGCAAAACCTGGAACAATTTTGGCAAATCTCAGGAAATCCAAGGATGAGAAGTGCAGCCAGGCTCTTCAAGGGACTAAAACTAAGAGCATCCAAACCAAGACAATCAAGACAAGCCAGAGACCAACTTCCCTCTGTCTCTCTCTTCCTCTCTTACAGTTCACATGGCCTTTTAATTTTGCTTCCCTCTGCACTTTACTCTTCTGCTGTGGGACGTTCACTGCTTTCCCAGCAAAGCTGGGAGGCAAGCATGATTGTCCCAGGTCTAATTTTGCATGTTTTTCAGAGTCTAGCACCCAAAGACAGTGGACTCTGTTCCAACTTAAAATTCACGAGAAAATTACTTTGGCCTAACTTGGGTGAAAATATCATTCATTTATAAACCCATTTCATCAACATCACTTAAGCCATTTTTGAATCATCAAGGCATTTTCCAGATTACTTCATCTTTATCTGTCTAAATATTTTAAAGTATACAAATATTTGAATTGGTACACGGTGTCATTGATAGATATTTTATACCAAGCCACAAGTAGTCATTCTGATAATATTAAAAAATTGTTTCTTCATATTTGCAGATATATATTGCAATATCCTCAAAATAAATAACCACTGCATGGATTTTCAAAGTTATCTTTAAATGGCTTATTTGTTGTAGCATCCAACCCATGAAATCATGAGGTGAACCTTCCAAATTAAATCTCCCAATTTTTTCTAGCCCTAATTTACTCCTTTCTAATATTTTTACTAGATTCAGCCATGTCTCTTAAGTGTGAAAAAGGGACATTTTTTAAAAAAAACAACACAACATTCCTCCCCATAACATAAGATTTAGTCTAGCTATTACCTCTTTGTGAAGCCGCTCTCACAATTTCCCCCATGCATGCAGCCCCATTACCCAGCGAGAGGGTCCTTGCCCCTTATCCCTGCTCACGTAGCACATAAAACAGGCCACCGATTGCAGGATTACTATTCTGGAACTGTTTAGTCTTCTCTTTCTTGGAAGAGGCAATCGGCTTTGATAGGGCAGGAGCTCTGTCCCATTCAATTTGTATCCTCAGTTCCTACTTACCACAGGGATAAGTACACAGCAGGCGGACAGTGAACGCCAACAGTCATTTAGAAATAGCTCAGAGTCGCACAAATGACTATGGGATAGTGGTGCTCCGTGGCCAAATGGAGTTCATCCTGTTCTCAGTTACAAATTTATCCAGAAATGGCTATTTATCTTGGACTTAACCTTCATTATTCATTTTTACTTTCATATATTTTGGAGGAGTCCCAAGAATAGAGTAGTTTTTGTATAAAACAAAGAGTAGCAATTTTATAAATGAGAACTGTGTGACACCTGTGATATTGACATGTGGCATAGATCGATCTATTATGATCTTTGGGGTAAAGGGAAATGAGGAGTTAACTACTTGGTTCTGAAAATATTAGTCTGGAATCACATTGTTCTTGACCCCAGCTTCTTATGATAACCTATGTTATATTTTTAGAAACCACCTTATAATTTCCTTAAGTTATAATGACAAGTCAGAATATTTTAATGGAGAGTGAGCATAAAAAGAAAAGTGAAGTATAACAATGTCACATTTTAAGTCACAAACTTAGCAATCAACTACATTGCAGTCTATTCCAGTTTAACGTTTTCTTTCTGTCTTTCTCAGTATTTTTGTGGTTCATACCCAGACTTGCAGGCTCCATCTCTTCTCTCCGACATCTCTTTCTGGGTGACATCTGGGCACAGTGAGAGCATACATAATGTCATGTTATCCTTATCTGCTGGCTTCCGAATGTCTCCAGTTGAGGTGTAGATGGTCCTGCCTGGTTTCAGGCCTTGGTTTCTGTCCTTGAATCTTCTGTGAAGTGTCTTAATATCATCTCTCTGTGCAAGAAAATTCCTGGGATGCTGGCCATCTCCTGTTATCTGGGACACACACCTTGGTAATCCCATAAGCAATCCTAGCAAGTACTTCTGACACCATGATATCCAAGTCTGTGATTTAGGGCTGTTTACCGTACACCCACTAAGATGTCACACGAAAACTTCCAGATTTCTTTCATACTTTTCCCAGGCCATGAAGAATGCAGAGGTCACCGTCTCATGATTTGTTCTCTGTCTATATAGGTCATGCCATCATCGGTACTTTGTGGGAGCTACCTTGTGTTGTCAGGCTGCTCCTCCAAAGGGTTTTGAAATTTATAAGTCATAACCTAAAAACAAGGAATAAGCCCTCCTCCATCAATATGGATATTCCTAACAACCTATCCTAGAATTTTGATTCCAAGGCAGATAGGATTTTTGTGTCACACACTACATTTCACCTCCACTTTCCCCAAGTCTTCCTTTCCACCAGGACTAGAAGATGCTTTCTTTTTGGAAGTGAATTGCTTTACATTGTGCTATGGACCAAAGTGTGTCTGCCCAAAATTCTTAAGTTGAAGCCCTACCTCACAGTGGATGGTATTTGGAGATGATGTCTTTGAGAATTAATTATGTTTAGATGAGGGCATGAGGGTGGGGCCTTTATGATGGGGTTAGTGTCTTCCTAAAAAGGGACACCCAGAGCTTCCTTTCTCTCTCTCTCTCCACTAGGTGAGGACACAGAAATAAGGTGGCTGTCTGAAGGCCAGGAAGGAAGACCTCATCAGACCCTGATCATGTCGGCACCCTGATCTCAGACGTCCAGACTCTAGAATTGTGACAAAATAAATTTGTGTTGTTTTAAGCCACCAGTCCATGGTATTTTGTGAGCTGATTAAGACACATTCTATCCATCTTCTTCCTATTGCATGGCTTAATCTTAATAAAAAGGATTGTTGGGGGACCAAATGCAATTCACCAAAAAGGTCGCATATATTTGGGGTATTATAAAGTATTATTTCTGTTTTGGATAAAAGAACAGAAAAAAAGACCTCAAATTTGGACCAAATAATAAGAAATCAAGTATACATTATTTTTCAAACCGTGGGTTACAACCCATTAATGGACGGTGAAAATAATTAAGAAGGTCATGGTTAGTCCTTCTCTTAATGATTTAGAACAGAACAAAATAAAGTAGAAAACATCAGAATTTCCTTTGTGAAATTTTTAGTATTCAGTTGTATGGATGAGCATGTTTGCTTCATGTGCGTGTGTCCCAGTTAATGATGTAGAATACATTTCTTCCTGAGACGTTAGCTATTAGAGCTATATCCAGCTGCTCAAAGAGATGAGGATCTAAGTAAACCCTTCACTATGTCTCCACTGTCTGCAACAAAGAATCATTGGCAACAGTGCCTTCTGAAAGGGATCAGGGGACTGGTCTTGGAGACCAGTGTGGGATTCTGTTCTCCCGTCTGTCCTTTGTCCCTCATACATTGGGTTTATCAGTATTGGATTTCAAAATTGATGGTGATGTCCCTACAACCACCTTTTTTTTTAAGTTCTTTGATATTTTATAAATTTCCTTCAACTTTTCCCACCCTCCTCCCAGTCAAGTTCTGATTCCTGTAATATCCATTGTATAAGGTTTAACTTCTCTGAGCATCATTTTCCTTATCTGGGACATGAGAGAGTTGAACTTGTTTTTATTTAATGTCCCTTCTAGCCCCAAGACTCTATAATTCTTTTGCGTTTATCTAAGAGGATTGCATTTATGACAGTGTTTCTCAACCGGGGGTTTTATGACCAGCTTCTCAGCGTCTGAGGATATATTCTCAAGGACTGGAAAGCTTTAAACTTTGTTGCCATAAATTTTTGTTTGTTTTCTTAACCTTGAGAACTCAGACACATTTTTTTGGATGAGTGGCTTATACAAGAGCTTGGGAACTTCAGGTCGTTTAGCATAACTGTAGCATGTTGTATTGTACACGGGGACACAGGACGAGGCAAGAGGTATATACAGAGGTGGGACCATGAACAGCCTTGCAAGCCTAGTTAAGAATTTTGAACTTTATCCTGAGATCAACGTGTGTCTGTGTGGAGTAGGGGTGGGTCACGGGGATGTTTGTGGTAGAAGACTATAGAAAGAATTCATTAAAAGGGAGAGACAAAATCAGGTTTTTGTTTTAGAAACACTGCCAAAGTAGAGAACAGGTTTGAGGTGACAAAAACCTGGATCTAGTCAGGACAGCTTTAATGTTATCAGAGTGAGAAACAATATTTGCCACAGTAGGGCGTGACTGGACAGTTGGGAAGGAGAAGTGTGGAAAAATTGGAGAGAGACTTTGTAGATAGATTCATTGGAACTTGATATTGGACTAGATTTTGGGAATAAAGGAAAGGCAGTATGGAGGACGACTTTGGCATCTGGTTTGTGCAGTGAGGTAAGGTGATGAAAAGGCCATCTTCTTGGAGTATGTTAGGAGCTGGTGGAGTGGGAGGTTGGAAGAAAATGGAGAAGACAGTTAATGTGAAAAGTGGGAGAGAAAACTACCTCCACACCTTCTAGTACTATCAGGCAGTGTGGAGGGCCTCTTTGGAGGAGGAATTATGAGTTTGTACACATTCTCTCCAGCAGCATTCAACAGCCAGTTAAACCTAGTGGTTTCATTCATCCAGAATTGTGAAGAATACAAAAGATAGACACAAATTTGGGTGGCGTTCAAGAGATATTGGAGAGCCATTATAATGTCAGATAGGTGTGTTAAGTAGATCAATTTGTGTCTTGTAGTACACATAGGATCAACACCCGTTGGGGAGAATGGACAGAGGGAATTACTGAAATGCACTGCAGTGATAAATGCCTCAGCCAACCCCACTAGGAGATCTGGAGCTGAAATGGCCCTTTAGTTTTGTGCTTTTGAGGCAAGGAGGCCTGTCTTTTATCCTCTCAATGGATCTGGGCTGCTTCCAAGGAGGGAGGTGTGACCCGTGTTAGGCAGCTTTCTTCAGCTTAGAGCAGTGGTTCTCAAAGTGTGGTTCCCAGAACGGCAGCATCAGCTTCATCTTGGTGCTTGTTAGAAAGGTAGACCACACCGAAGACCTACTCAATCAAAAATCCGGGGGCACGGCCATCTGTGCTTTAAGCTCTCCCCATGATTCTAATACAGGTTAAAGTTTGTGAACCACTGGTTTTGGGAATCTATGGAGAGAGCTCAGTTGAAAATTGCCAGCAATCTAGACTCTTAGGAGCTGGGGAATGGGTGCTCATTCCTGTAGGGGAGAAATGTGGGAACGCCCCTGTCATCAGTAGGTCAAGGCAGAAAAACCAGGCTGCAGGTAGTGGCTTCTGTTCTGAGTTAGGAGTATTAAAGGCAGTTGAGTAGGAAGGATATAGGGGACAAATTAAAGAATTTGATTATTAATTGTGAAATTGTACTGTAAAGCATCATTTTCCATTTATTGCCTTTTTCTTTGTTTCAAATTCATTTAATATACACAATTAATCATATGCTTTAATATCAACAACTTTTCTGAAGTCAACTATGATTATAATAAACACCTATGGATATGGAGTTTTATGTTGTGATTAAGCAACAGAATATCTTTCTAGTTCAAATACTTAACAGGAACTCACAATATGTTTTTTTCCTTTATTATGTACAAGGTAGTCATAATTAAAAGAGGAGCTCTTGAAAGTAAATTAAGTTCTATTATATAGAATTATTAATCTAAAGGAAATACATCTTTCCTTAGCTGATTAGCATAGAAGTTAAGTTCTCATTAGAATAAAATACCTAATAATTCATTAAAACACTCGTAAATTTGTGTAAAACTTGATTTTAAGCCCACATTCAATCAATTCTTTTCCAAGGCTGCTGGTTATATCTATACTTTATTGCTGAGCTTCTGCACCTTAAATCCTTATAACGCCAGCCTTGACTAGAGAAATAGTCATTGCCAATGCACAATTTATTTAATGCACAAAACAGTTTGATGGTTCAGTTCATCGCAGTCCAGATGCTGTGACGTGGACATCTTGAAATTTGCCACTGCCCAGGCCCGGTAGTACCTGGAAAGTGGCAGTCCATCTTGAAAGGGGATAAAGAGGAGAACTGTACAGTCCTTTTACCTTGTTTTTAGATTACATGCAAAAGAATTTACTTTTGCAGGAGCTGGTAAGGGTTCTGGGCCACTTGAAATAGAATAAATGCTTTCTTGCAAATAGAAACAATTAAAGATATAACAGGTTTAAATAGCTCTGAGGATGGAAATTTAGGCTTTTGTTTTGGTCACTACCTAAGGATAATTAGTAGCTTCTTTAGAAAAAAATTAAGGTGTAAATTTCTCATTAGAAGAAATTTAAAACAAGGTAAAAAATGGAACAACCAAATACCAAACAGGCAGAGCGTTACAATGAAGGACAGATGGCTCAATCTGCATGAAATAGTTGCCTTCTAGTTTTCAGATGACCCATCTCCTGAGTGGATTGCAAACTCAGCACTGTGGGGTTGGGTTAGCTATTTGCTCCTTGTCAGCGACGAGTTAGTGTTCCTCCTGCCTTTTTATTATTCATCATTTTTTTTTTAAAGGTTGGCCCTGAGCTAACATTTGTTGCCAATCGTTTTGTTTTTTCATTCTGCTCCCCAAAGCCCCCCAGTACATAATTCTATACTCTGGTTGTTGGTCCTTCTAGTTCTACTATGTGGGATGCCACCTCAGCATGGCTTGATGAGTGGTGGTAGGTCCGCCCCCGGGATCCAAACTGTCGAAACCCTGGGCCGCTGAAGTGGAGCATGTGAACTTCACCTCTTGGCCACAGAGCTGGCCTCTATGATTCATCATTTTACGGGTGTAGAGAAGGATGATGACAGAAGATAAGAAGCAAAACTGGACAGTGGGTTTGTGGCTGCTTAGAAGATAACAGGGGAAGTTGAACTTAGTTGCTTGCAATAGCTTTTGATTGGCAGTGGCACCTTGGGATACCCTGAAGGTGAATGGAGATGGCTATGGAGTTCTGTCATGGGTGAAGGTAAATATCAATTATTCTTCTCATTGTTCCTGTTAATCTCTTTTACAGGTGATTTTTTTTTCTCTTTTTTTTCATTGAAAACCTCATTAAAATTATTTTCTTTGTGTGCCCATTCATATTGCCCAAATACATTACTGCAAATAGGAATAGTTTTTCAAGGCGTATATTTGATGTTAAAATCAGAGTCTAAATCACTTATTTGACTCCAAATTTATCTTCTCTTTTGTGGTACACGCCCCTGATTTTAGTGAACTTCTCTCCTCTCTCCCCTGAAGATCATGTGGTGCAGAAAGCTGACTGGATTGTCATGTACAGAGGGGGCACATGAGCTCTTGGCCACAGTGATTCATTCAAGGGTGGGCCTGTGGTTTAGCTGGTCTGCCCAGAGGAAGTCTCAGGTCGTTTATTTGGATGTTGTAACAGAACTGCTCTCCTTTGCTGGTTAGAAATGCAGAGGTGTGGTTTCTTGGGAGCCACTGTCATTCATCTTGGACTATAAGGAGAGAAGCCTCTAATGAAGGAAAGAAACAACCAGAAAGAAGAGTCGAGGGGCAGGCCAGTGGTGCAGCGGTTAAGTTCGCGCGTTCCACTTCTGTGGCCCAGGGATTGCGGGTTCGGATCCCAGGTGCGGACATGGCACCCTGTGGCACGCCATGCTGTGGTAGGTGTCCCACGTATAAAGTAGAGGAAGATGGGCACGGATGTTAGCTCAGGGCCAGTCTTCCTCAGCAAAAAGAGGAGGATTGGCAGCAGTTAGCTCAGGGCTAATCTTCCTCAAAAATAAATAAATAAATAAATAAATAAAAATTAAAAAAAAAAAAGTGGAGTGGAGACATGCAA